AAAAAATACGGGGTATTCCATTTAAAATTTTCGACTTTCTAGCCATTGAATATGGAGAAACGGTAATTCAATTTTTGACCACCCTGTATAAGATACTCTGATACAAGAAATGACAATCTATTTGGCAACATCTGAAGAGTAACCGTGCCAATTTAGAGGTTTTTTTAATGAAGGTTACCTGAGATATAGGCTTTTAAAGAGCATGGTGAAATTTGCCAAAAAAAGCTTAAAATCAAAATAACTCGAAAACAAAAAATGGTAGGTACCAACAACTTTTATCAAAGTCAACATATTTTTTTATGTATAATTGAAAGGTGTAATAAAAACTATAGCATTCCATTTAAAATAACGAAGTTGTGGTCTACTTCCGGTAGACCGGAAGTGGTGGCCATCTTGAAAATATTTTAGATTGAAAGTTTAGAATGAACAACCCATGCTACCAAAATTTCAAACCTCTATGAATAGTGGAACCTAAAAAAGTTCTAACGAACCAGTAACGTGAGACACCCTGTATTATGTATCAGTCATGCGGTGAGCCAGATACAACAAAAAAATGACCAATTTTTGTATTTTGTCCTCCTAAATTTGAGAAATTGACCACTGTGGGGTCAATTTATATATATATACGTATACGGGCGAACATAGGCGATGCGGCTTCTATACAGGGTGATTCATAAGTAATGGGCCAAATTGTAAATGTACGTTCAGGAGGCCAAAATAATAATATTTTCATTAACAATAATGGGTCTTAGTCTGCTCCTTACTGAGATACAGGATGTTAAAGCGAAAAAAATAAAATAGATTTTTGTTAATAGATCAGCTACTTTTCTACATAATGACTCATAGTTGACTTATAGTTTTTGTAAGGGTAAACAATAATGTGTGAGAGGATTTGAGTTAACTCGTAGATGTCGCCACATGCGCCATATGAATTATGAAACGTCAATGAGCTTTTACGTTTAATGAATAGTTTAAAACATTTTATTGTTAAGTAAACTGATTCATTCTTGTCCTAACATAAATCAAAATGCCGAGACATAATCACTTTTCAAACGAAGAAATGAGAGACATGTTATGCGTTTACGCACAAGAACGTTTTTCTGGGCAAGCAGCATCCAGAAAATATCGTGAAATGTACCCTTACAGAAGGCAGCCAAACCGGAAGATATTTCAAAATATTTATAATCGATTGGGTGAAACAGGTTCATTTCGTCCAAAATATCATACAGGACGTCCTAAGATTATCACTCCGCAGCAAGAAGATGAAATTTTGGTAAGAATTGCGCAAAATTCTGAAATAAGCACTCGTCGATTGTCTGCAGCAACTGGAATAAGCCAACCATCCGTGACTAGAATTTTACACAAGGAAAATTTATATCCCTATCATTTTATACCTGTGCAAAATTTACTTCCAACAGATTATCGAATCAGAGTTCAATTTTGTCAGTGGCTAAAAGGAAAATTGAATAATAATCCAACATTCCTAAATAACATTCTTTTCACGGATGAAGCAACCTTTACCAGACGCGGAGTTTTTAATTGGCGAAATAGTCATGCCTGGGAAACCGAAAACCCTCGTTTAAAAAAAGATAGACATTTCCAGCACGAGTTTAAAATAAATGTGTGGTGCGGTGTAATAGGCAATACATTACTGGGCCCAGTTGAATTACCTCCTAATTTAAATGGAGAGTCATATTTAATTTTTTTAAATAATGACTTAGTCGACCTCTTGGGAGATCTTCCATTACAACTAAGAAGAAATATGTGGTTCATGCAAGACGGTGCTCCTCCACATTTTTCACGTGCTGTGCGCGAACATCTGAATGAAACATTCCCTCACCGTTGGATTGGACGTGGTAGTGAATTTCAGTGGCCACCTCGCAGTCCCGATTTTAATCCACTTGATTTTTATGTGTGGGGTTACATGAAATCAATGGTCTATGCTGAACCTACTATAAATACACGAGACGAGTTATGGAATAGAATTCAAGATGCAGCCAATTCAATACGAAATAATCCTGCTACATTTTTTAAAGTCAGACAATCCTTAACCAAACGGTTAAATGCGTGTATAAATGCTGGTGGTGGTCATGTTGAAAACCTTTTGCAGTAGCTCATAATTAAGCTTAAATTTAATTTAACTTCGCACAACATTAACATGTAGGTTTTGATAACAGTTGTCGTAAGTGGTCTTAGTTCAAGTCTGTTCTAATGTTGTATTTCGTTTTATTAACTGGCGTACAATAAATTGTTTTATTACGTAATTTTTTTATGGTTTCAGTTTAATATTGTTATCAATTATCAATTACGGTTAGGTAAATGTCAACATTCCATGCCATGCTTGTGTCTTAACAGATTAATGCTACGTCGACCACCGTGAAATGTAGTGTAGTGAATTAGTAAAATTCAAATATCTCGAAAATCGTTAATATTTTCAAGATCAAAGAAGTATAGCTTTTTTCTACAGAAATGATGGGGCTATCCAAATTAAACAAGTATGTTGTAAAATAATGAGCGATAAAAAATTTGTAGCTGATTTCATCTAATTCATATGGCGCATGTGGCGACATCTACGAGTTAACTCAAATCCTCTCACACATTATTGTTTACCCTTACAAAAACTATAAGTCAACTATGAGTCATTATGTAGAAAAGTAGCTGATCTATTAACAAAAATCTATTTTATTTTTTTCGCTTTAACATCCTGTATCTCAGTAAGGAGCAGACTAAGACCCATTATTGTTAATGAAAATATTATTATTTTGGCCTCCTGAACGTACATTTACAATTTGGCCCATTACTTATGAATCACCCTGTATATACAATTTGTTTGAACGTTTCAATGAAACATAAAAAAGGCCGGACATTAGCAGTTTCAGACACATTTCAACTATGTTTCAGAAATATGTCGAAGAAACATTTCATGTTTCAATAATATGTGTCAGAAATGTTTCTGAAACGCAAATTTGTTTACTGGGGTGGTTTGAGTTAGCATGTGACAAGTAATAATAAAGTAAAAAATTATAAACTTTTTTTTCATTCAATAATCCAATAATCAAATCATTCAAACCTTAACTTTATCTTATTTCATTCCATTATCATTTCGGTTAATCTTATCTCAAACTTATCTTTTTCGCCATTGTCAAAGATAAAAATTCAGTTTTTGTGGAAAAATTCACCAAAAAATATGTCATGGATTTATAATTGTTTCCATACGGAAGAAAGTAAATTTCGCGAACGCGAATCAGGTTACATTCGCGAATTAACGAAAGTTAGCAACAACTTAATCACAATAACGCACGAAAAAATAGCGATAGAAGAACGTTATCGCGAAGACCTTAATCGCTGGGAATCCAAAGAAAACGCGTACCACGACAAAATCAACGAACTTCAAGCTTTATTACACCAACAAGACGTAGTTATGAAGCAGTATCAAATCTACGAAGGGAATTTCCAACAAGATAGAGTCCAATTACACGAAATCCAAAAGAATGTTGAAGATTTAAAACGAACGGTGATAAATCAACGGGAAATTATTGAAAAATTAGAAAATGAAAATCGCAAGTTTTTGGGAGAAAACGATTCGGGATATTCAAGCGAAATTAGCGGACCCCACATCACCACAGCAATTTTAGTTTAAGATAAAGTGAGGTTATTATTATTTTTTGTAATCAAAATTAAGTTATTATTTCTGAAAAATTCTTTTTATTCCGCACTAAAATAATACAGATTAATCAAAAAGAAAAAAATGCGAAAAAATAAAACCAAAAAATTAAAAAAATACATTTTATGCCTTAAATAAGTAAAAAAATCCATTTTTACTTAAACACAACAGTATCCAACATAGCTCCAAGACATTGCACGATGTTATTAGTCATTAATAAATCGACTTTTTCCTCTAAATGTCTTTTCGGGTCTTGTTTTCCAACGTTTTTAATCGCTAGTTGTTCGGGGGTCATTTTTTCCTCATCCTCTAAAGCTTTGTTGTAATTTTTAGCTAACTCTAGCATATCAGAGACGGTTTTTTGGTTTACAGAGCAATTTTCTTTATAATCCGACAAGGTTAAACCATCCATCCAAGACTTTTTATGCAAATTTAACAACATTTTTTGTTCCAATTCATTTTTACGGTAATTTATACTAATTGAGTAATAATGCCGGTTTAAACCATGAATTAAAGCTTGAACAGAAGGCTTTTGAAGGTGGCCTAAATTTGATGTTGTTTGTCTTGGCTCTTGCCCCAACACCATCATGTTTGGGTTAATTAATCGAAAAGCATCAATAACAACTTTTCCTTTCACTGATTGAATTGGATCCACAACTACAGCCACTGCACGTTCTGAGAGAGCTTCAAATGATTGTTGGGTGTTTATATCAACACCTGATAACCAACACCCAAAACCTGGATGAGAATGGTACCAACCAACAACCATCTCTGGTCTACCAGTTTGTCTTAACATATCCAACATTTTTGCTTGAAACACAGGATCAACAGCTTCTACACTAACCCCAGTACCAGTTTGAGGCATAGCAAATACATCAATAACACGCACCGTGTAATCATCAACAAATTCACCTGAATAAATAAAAAATTAAAAAAATTTATAATTTTAAGGTTATGTCAACTCACCAAGCATAAGTCCCATAACTTCCATTGGAACACCAGCTCGACCGTGTTTTAACATTTTTAATAACGCCAAAGATGAGATGTAAACTTGCTCGGCTGTATCAACAACGGGGGCATCGCTCGGCGGCGGAGCTTGGGCTAAACCGGGCATTCCTCCACCTAACCTCAAAAGACGATCCATTTCTTTAAAGAATTACACCAAAATTATAATTTAGAATATTTCTTTTATATCGCGATGATGATCGAGGAAAATTGCGAACTATTTAAGCAAAAAACGGCTTCTTTGTGTTTATAAATCGAGTTTTAAACGAGTTTTGTTGGAGAAAATGCAAAATCACTTCTATTTGACGTTTGACAGTTATATTTTGTATTGTGTGTTGTCATCGTGTCGGTAAAGTCGGTAATTGTTGAAAATTTTATTAAATTTTATTTTATTAATTAATTGTTTTATTTATATTTTCAATAAATTATTAAATATTTTAATTAATTTTTAAATGGCCATTTTTATATCTGTGCCTGTAGAGGTTACTTTTTACCCAAGTTACAACTTCATGTAATTCTTCAATAAATTAATTAAACTAATAATTTTATTATTAATAGTGGGAATGATGAGAGACAGCAATAACAATTATTTCCAGTATCATTCTTTTAATTTAAAAAGTATAGATTCAAATTCGTTTTATATTTTTTAATTTGTCGCTAACTTCAACTATTAAAACTTAAAGTTTGTTCAGAATGACAGATGAAAAAAAATGATTTAAAATGACGTTTTAAAGTGATTTTTTGGTAAGAGTATAATAAAGTAATAATGGTAGGATTAAATAATTAGATTATAATTGAATTTATTATAGCATTGTTTCAGCTAACGTTATAATTGGTTGGAAGCTCGTTGGATGCAATCTCACATGTCATATGATGCAGTAATATTCAAATGTGGTGGCATTGCCAACCTGTCGGAACGTTAATTGGAGCTACATAGTGGTTGAAAACCACTTTCCAAACAGTTATTCTGTGGTTGGAGCTTTTATTATATAAACCCAATCCAACCTGTATTCTAGTGGTTTGGTTCTTAGCTGAATAATTCGAAAATATCCGTAACAGATGGCGCCACATGCGTTCCATTTTTATCTCCATTTCTACGAAGCTATTTTCTATGGTGCATAGTTAGAAAGCGCGGAGGTCGGTGAAGTAACTTAATAATCTATTTTAATTAATTTTTAAAAAAGCGAGACTTTTTTATATTAAAGTACATCTAAGTAGATTATTTCAACCGTAAAAAGAAACCTACTTTATCAACCTCACTTTAGTGTCAGCTGTCATTTTTGTAATTTTAACGTTTTATTTAATTCTTTTTGTTAATATTTTCTTTAATTTTAATAAAACCACCAATAAAATGGATTTGGAATCAGAAGTTAGTGATTATGAATCACTTCGTGAACAAAATATGAAGGAATTACAAGCTTTGGTAAGATTAAGATTAATTTATTAATAATATAACCTCAAATTAATTAAATTTAAATTTAATAATTTTTCTTTCAATTAAGATGTCTCAATTTGAAACTCCTGATTTCGACGATACCATGGATGCTATTAATACATACGAAGAAATTAAAAAGGGGGCGAAACGTAAACGGGATGGTGGAGATTCGACTTTTCGATGTAGCGTTATGGTTCCGTTGGAGACGAGGCGTTCTTCTAGATTAGCAAAAATCACTCCTAAGTATTCTTATTTAGATTTGCCGGATGAAAAGGTAATTTTTTTAAAATAAAAGTGATTTAATAATTTTTTTTAAAACAATTTAAGTTAATAAAAGATTCAAATTATGATGATGTGGACATCGAAGATCTAGAAAAACCACTTTACCATCCAAGAAAACGCTCAAATTACAAAACATCGAATTCAACTCCTTTTAAAATCGTACCTGTGGAATTAATCACAGAAAATTATTTAAAAAACATAGCATCTCGTACAACAAAAAAGATTTACTCCCAAAACGGCACTTCCTGCCATCAATGTCGCCAAAAAACCATGGACAGTAAAACTTATTGTCGTAATTCTGAGTGTGTTGGAGTTCGAGGCCAATTTTGTGGGGTTTGTTTAAAAAATCGTTACGGTGAAGATGCCAAAAACGCTTTATTAGATCCAAATTGGAAATGTCCACCCTGTAGGGGTCTGTGTAATTGTTCGATTTGTCGAGCTCGTGAAGGAAAACGCCCTACGGGGATTTTAGCACCTTTAGCTTTTAAGCATGGACATAAAAGTGTTAAAGATTTTTTGTTTAGTTTGAATGGGAGAGGGGATTTTGTTGAAAATTGTGATGAAATGGAAAATTGTAAAGATGAAATTTATGAAAATAATTGTTTATCAGGATGTGATCATTTTGATTTAATTGGTTTTGATAAAGATGGGTTTGCGGTGGTTTTGGTTAATGACAAAGATCGGATTTGTGATCGAAAAGGTGATTTATTAGGGTTTAATAGTGAAATAAAACCTGTTTTAGTACTAAATAGTAAGTAAAATGTGTTGAATTGTTTTAAAAGTGCCTGAAAAGTATTAAAAAGTTATTAATTATTATTTTTTTTTTAATTCATTATAAATTACCTATAATCTGTGCCAAAAGTGAAGGCTCCTCAATTTAGAGATTCATATAACATCTACTATCGCCCTAGCCTTATTTGCTACATGGCGTAAAAGACGGAAAACAAAAAAAAAACGAAGTTGAGGTCCATTTCCGGTATAACCGAAAGTTGAAGAAAACTGAAAATATTTTAACTGAAACGAGCACCTCGTATAAACGCTATATGCAAATTTTCAGAAAAATAGTGCCAGTAGTTTGTCACATACATATACAGGTGTTCCGGTGACTCGGGGCATAAAATTAACCTCATATACTAGAGCAAAAATGATGACGATTCGTGAAAAAAAATTATTATAAAAGTCTTCAAATGGCCAAGATATGACCGGTGTGAAAACAGCACGCCAAACATAGCACGCCATTTCAGCGAGATCACCCGGTATACAGTGAAGTCGGTTTTACACGCTCCAATTTGTAAATAAAACTACAGAAAATACAACTGTTATATTGATTCCAAAGGTCGATCAATTTGAAACAGAGCAATAAATACATTTGAAAAATTACCGTAAATAAATTGTCTTGCTCCGATTTCGTAAAGGCTGTCTTACCCTCATATTAAATATTATAGCCCTGTGTTAACGACGGCAGCCCCCAAAGATCTGATAGTTGCTAAATATACCGAAATATCCCACCTGTCGAATAGGGTGGCCAGATTTACTTGCTCCAACTTCCTAAGGGCTCTTTTATTCACCCCCATATTAAAAAAAATCGCCCTGTGTTAACGACGGCAGTCCCCAAAGATCTGATAGTTACTAAATATACCAAAAGTTAACAACGAATAGCATTAATGCTCAGCATAAAAACATAAAGCATAAGAACATGGGATGTTTTAGTATATAATTTTTTTAATATGGGGGTGAATAAAAGAGCCCTTAGGAACTCAGAGCAAGTAAATCTGGCCACGCTTTTCGACAGGTGGGATATTTCGGTATATTTAGCAACTATCAGATCTTTGGAGACTGCCGTCGTTAACACAGGGCGAATTTTTGTAATATGGGGTTGAATGAAAGAGTCCTTAGGAAGATAGAGCAAGTAAATGTGGCCACGCTATTCGACAAGTGGGGTATTTTGGTATATTCGGCAACCATCAGATCTTTGGGGACTGCCGTCGGTAACACAGGACGAATTTTTTTAATATGGGGGTGAATAAAAGAGCCCTTAGAAACTCAGAGCAAGTAAATGTGGCCACGCTATTCGATAGGTGGGATATTTTGGTATATTTAGCAACCATCAGATCTTTGGGGACTGCCGTCGTTAACACAGGGCGAATTTTTTTAATATGGGGTGAACAAAAGAGCCCTTAGGAAGTCAGAGCAAGTAAATGTGGCCACGCTATTCGACAGGTGGGATGTTTTGGTATATTTAGCAACTATCACATCTTTGGGGACTGCCGTCGTTAACACAGGGCGATTTTTTTTAATATGAGGGTAAGACAGCCTTTACGAAATCGGAGCAAGACAATTTATTTAAGGTTCGTACAGCTACACCCCCCATTCAAGATATCAGCATTTTGATAGTGCCATAATTATGTACTATTTATGTACTAATTTTGTACTACATTAAAAAATTTTGTACTAATCATTTAGTATTTTTTTTTATATATGTCAAAGTGGGGGGTGTAGCTGAACGTTCAGTTACACCCCCTCCCCCTTCATATACAACCTCCCTTTCAAGATATCCGCATTTTGATAGTGCCATAATTTTGTACTATTTATGTACTAATTTTGTAGTACATTAAAAAATGTTGTACTAATCATTTAGTATATTTTTTATATATATCAAAGTGGGGGGTGTAGCTGAACGTTCAGTTATACCCCCCTTTTAAGATATAAGCATTTTGATGGTACCATCGTTTTGTGCTATTTATGTACTAATTTTGTACGGCATTAAAAATTTTTGTACTAATCATTTAGTATATTTTTTATATATATCAAAGTGGGGGGTGTAGCTGAACGTTCAGTTACACCCCCCTTTTAAGATATCAGCATTTTGATGGTACCATCGTTTTGTGCTATTTATGTACTAATTTTGTACGGCATTAAAAATTTTTGTACTAATCATTTAGTATATTTTATATACAGTGTGTCCCCGGATTGTGTCCCCGTAAGGTATAATTGACGATAAATTTTTGAATTCAAATTCCATCTTTTGCAATTAAAGTCTGGATGTCATAAAACGAAATATAACCAAGTTTTACGTCAAATGTCCTCAAAGTACCAAAGTTAACGCAAGAAGTTTGTTAACCGTTGCAGGTAAAGTGGTCTTTCTGAGCAATGTACAACAAAAGTTGATTAAGATAAAATGTTTGTTATGTTAAATTATAGCGATATGCCGAATTATATTAATTTAGCATATAAAAGAAAAAATGAATTTTTTCCTGAAAATTTTTTTCTAATATTCCGTTTTACAATGAAACCAAATGATCTGAGTGAACTAACAATTATCATTTGATAGCTTAGCTTTAACCTATTGTCAAATATTACTTGATCCTGTTTACATTACAACGTTAAATATTTATAGGGCAGTGCTATGGATTGAGGAACATTAGTTACAATGCAGTTTTAAGGCAATTTGAGGAAAAATTTGGATTTTTAGTAGATAAAAAAACAATTAAGAAAGTTGTTAAAAATTTTCGGAAACGGGCATGTAGAAAATAAAAGGAAGGAAAAAAAGCTTTCAGATGAACATGATGCGGGGTCGATTGTTGCAGTAACGAACGCAATGGATTACGGTAAGGTGTCGTTAAGAAAAAGGGCAGTTCAAGTCGGTATAAGTAAATCCCATTTACAAAGAATTTATCAACAAAAGAAAATATTGCCGTATAAACCAAAATTTAACCACACTATCGAATTAGGCGATGAAGCAAAACGTTTAAATTATTGTTTGTGGTTTGGGTACAAAATTTTGAGACAGAACTTTTTTAAAAAACATAGTATTTTCGGACGGAGCATCGTTCACCACTAATAGAGTGGTAACATCACAAAATTGTCGATTTTGGTCAAAGAATAATTCACATTATCGCATAGCTTGTAAACGTCAGTATTCCCAGAAAGTGGATGTGTGGTGTGCTGTTTCGTGAAACGGTGTTATTGGACCTTACTTCATAAACGGCAATTTGAATCAACACCGATATTTAGAAATACTAGAAAATTATATTAACAATAAATTATATTTTCAACAAGATGGTTGCGGCCCACATTCGACCATTTTAATTAGAAATTATTTAAATACGTTATTTGGAAAAAATGGATTGCTAGATATGGTCCGCAACCATGGCCGCCAAGAAGTTCGGATTTATCTATTACGGATTTTTATTTTTGGGATTATGTAAAACAAAAAGTGTACGCTGAAAATTTTAATAACAATTTAGACCGTTTAAAACAAAAAATTGAAACTGTTATTAGAGAAATTCCGTTGGAACAAATTAGAAAAAGTTATAAACAATGTCGGAAAAGGGCTGAATTATGTGTTAGTGTTGGTGGTGGTATCATTGAATAAGCTTTTATGTTAATTTAGTTTAGATCGAAAATGTTTTGTTAATCTTATGATTTAAAAATCTGCATTTTGCTTTTATAGCCTAAATTAATAAAATTTGGCATATCGCTATAATTTAACATAGCAAACATTTTATCTTAATCAACTTTTGTTGTACATTGCTCAGAAAGACCACTATACCTGCAACGGTTAACAAACTTCTTGCGTTAACTTTGGTACTTTGAGGACATTTGACGTAAAACTTGGTTATATTTCGTTTTATGACATCCAGACTTTAATTGCAAAAGATGGAATTTGAATTTAAAAATTTATCGTGAATTATACCTTACGGGGACACAATCCGGGGACACACTCTATATATCAAAGTGGGGGGTGTAGCTGGACGTCCAGTTACACCTCCCTTTTAAGATATCAGCATTTTCATACTGCCATAATTTAGTGCTATTTATGTACTAATTTTGTACTATGTTAAAATTTTTAGTACTAATCATTTAGTATTTTTTTTTATACAATTGTTCCAACTTGTTGGTACCCCCTTTTTTCTTTTAAACTATAACTACCACAGATTTGTTATTTGGCACATCGATACAGGACAAAAAGGTTTACTTTATGAAGTTAGTGTTGTTACTATATCACTTCCGGTTAGACCGGAAGTAGATGATTTATAAATTATAATATATATATATATTTAACAGTTTTTATTAACTTTTTTTTTACAATACAGGGTCATCCACGACGACCGTCCATTAGAACTTTACAGGGTTCTGGCCAAAACAAAAATTTGAAAATTCAGATTTAAGTATTATTAATTGCGTTCTCTTCGTCTAAAATATTTTCAGATTTCTAGCACTTCCGGTTATACCGGAAGTCGCCGCCTACTTTATTTTTTTAAATGGAACACCCTATATATTTTTACATATTTGTGTTTGTCTGTTTTCAAGGTTTATGAATAACTTTACTTTTTGCAATTTGATTCTGCCGTTCTCGAGTTATTCGAATTTTTCTAGAAAAATCTGCTCCAGCAGACATTGTTAAAAAAATCAGAGAACACTCGATTTTTTAGATATCAATTTAGGATTGAGAACATGCGTAAGCAATATGATAGAGTATGTTTTGGTGCCGAGTACGGCTGTCTAGAAAGTTTGGTCACTTTAATACGGCACGTTAACTTTTCGAAATTTGGAAGTACCATAACTTAATTTTTTTAAATGGCACCCCCCATATTTTATTATTTAGTCGTGTTCGGTGTCTCATTTTACATCTTTTATATCCCATATGTCCTATACCTAACATTTATAGTTTGGGAGATAATTAGGGTTTTTTGAAAAATGCACACATTTATCGATATTTAACCTAGTGTGCCGTGAATACCTAGTGTGACCTAGTGAATCCATCCAGGTGGAAATCTTCACCTTCGAACGATATCTTACAGGGTATATCGTGTATATTTGTCCGTTTAAGGCTGGACCCCTCTGTGTAAGGGTTGATCCACACTGTGATGCCGTTCACGGTTCATTCTCGGTCCGATCAAATCTCATTGTGTCTACACTACTAGTGTAACAATCAGTCTGTCTCGATCCACGGTCGACATAGGACGTTGATAAAACTCGCCAAAAAATGGCATTTAATTTTTCAGTTGAAGAATTAGCAATAATAGTCATTGTTTTGGATGAACAGCATACAATTAAAAAAAAAATACGACGTAAAATGAAGAAAAGAAGAATGTGGATACATCCCAGTTTATTAACGAGAAAAGAAGAAGGCGAATATTATACTTTATATCGTCATTTGATAGACGAAGAAGACAAATTTTCACAATATTGTCGAATGGACTCCGGAACATTCGAAATGATGTTGAAAAAAATCGAGCGCAAAGTTTCAAAAATAAACACTTGTTTTCGTGAGGCGATTTCTCCACGAGAAAAAACTAATGGTTTGTTTAAGGTAAGTAATGAAACGTATTACAAAATACGTTACAAAGTTATATTATAATTTTTTAATTATTATTATATTAATTAATAATTATTATTATTATTTTATATTATCAGTATTGCTAGCTGGACACATTTCATATGCGTAATGCGTTGACAACGGAAATGAAAAATGAGGTGGGTGCATGGATTCAGAAGAAGTTAATGGTTTTGAAATAATTGTTGATGTTGTTCCACCGCCTACGTGAGCATGTGTTGTTGTTGGTGATAAGAAGGGCGAAGAAGCAGCTGTAATATATTTTTCTTCAATTTCACTCACAAGAGTGAATACTTTAATTTTTATATAATGTTGATCAACAGCAGAACATTTTTTAACTGTTCCAGCGATTAACGCAAAAAATTGTCGATGGGGTGTGGTTTTTCTTCCTGGGCTTTTTTATCTAGAATATACTTCATCAGAATCGATGATGCATTTTCCTGTTGAATTTCTGTATTTATCGATTTACTTTTTTTGCGAGCCGGCGGCGGTACATTACTCTTAAACGTATTGGCAGGATCAATGTCTAGTTCACCTTCTTCACTGCCATCAATTTCTTTTGACACCGTTACTCGTCCATTTGTTTCTCCGATATGCATGTCAGGAATGTTTTCGTTATCTTCTTCCTCATGGATAGTTGATATCCGTGGTGTCACAATTTATAAATGCGTTTATAAATTGCATTTGGTCTTGATATCGCCATTTACAAATTTTTGTAGCTGCTTGGCCACTTTTGGACTTCATCTTAGCAAGGTATTGCCGATATTGAGCTCGTAGTCCTTCCCATCGATTCTTTGCTCCTATGATGAAAAGAAACTATGTATAGTAGAAAATAAATACTTTGAAATCTTTATCTACAGGGGATTTCTGCCGAACAATTGCGTTTAGTTATCGCCTTGGCCATTTGACAGTACAGAGCATCGTTCTCGAAATTTGCGGAGCAATTAACGAAGTGTTATTAACAGAGTATATTTCAACTCCATCTCAAGAACAATGGTTACAAATAGCAAATGAAATGTGGAGCATGTGGAATTTCCCAAACTGTTTGGGAGCTCTAGATGACAAACATATAACAATAGAAGCTCCAGCAAACAGTGGATCTTTATATTTTAATTATAAAAAGACGTTTTCGATAGTTCTTTTGGCGTTAGTAGACGCCAATTACAAATTTGTTGCTGTGGATATTGGGTCATATGGAAAAAACAGTGATGGTGGAATTGTTGCAAATTCTGCACTGGGAAAAAGATTGGAAAATGCCACGATGAATGTTCCAATAGATTCACCTCTACCAGGTACAAACATAATAGCACCGTACGTAATATTGGCAGATGAAGCATTTCCGTTAAAAAAATATTTAATGCGGCCTTACCCAGGATCGAAAAATGTTGAAGATAATGCGAAAAGAATATTTAATTATCGTTTGTGTAGAGGAAGAAGATTAGTTGAATGTGCATTCGGTATTTTATCACAGACTTTTCGCGTGTACAATAGAAGACTCAGAGCTCATCCTCAAAATGCATCTTAAATAATTTTAACAACATGCATTCTACATACTATTATTAGAAATACACTGTTGGAAATAATTCACGAGCACACCCTATATAATCTGAACGTGTGAAGATAAATCCATAATATTTGCGGAGCACAAAGCTTTACTGTAGACGAGTTTATTCAGCGAGTTTCAAGTTGTTCCGTCGCGGCATTGTTGACTGAGCCGCCCTTCCAAGTGGAACATTCCGTCGCTATGGAGACCGAAGTGGATGGAAAATACCGGTCGTTTTTAGTGTGGTGTGAGGGACCACATTGTTATCGTACTCTGTGCGCAATGGATGAGCGATCGCGTTACATAAGCGAGTTTGGGCGAGGAATGTTTGTGGGTATGTACATTGAGGGTGTATCGTTCCGTGAAATTGCGCGTCGTCTCGAGCGGTCGTTATCGGCAGTGCAACGGGCATGGCGAGGATGGTCTGAGGTAGGACATAGGTACCTACAGCCGCGGCCGGGACGGCCCTGCGCGACCCCAGCACACGAGGATCGCACTCTTGTGCTCAGCGCTTTAGCGTCGTGTGCGTCCTCCTCAAGGCAACTTGGAGCTGTTTGGCCACCGGCAGGGGAAGACTCACTCACTACGCGAACTGTATGGCGGCGTTTGGTAGATAGTGGACTGCGCGCGCGTCGTGCGATACAGCGGATTCCAGTAACACCCGAGCACCGCAGCATACGTCACGAGTAGGTCGACGCTAGGCATTAGTGGGTTGCCGAGTAGGACATTTTGTTTTCCGACGAATCAAGATTCGAATTGAGCACCGGTGATGCGCGAATTTTAGTTCGTCGGAGACGTGGTGATCGTCTACTCGAGCAGTGCGTGCAAGAATGCCCTATCCACCGACAACAGAGCATTATGGTATGGGGTGCTATTACACATGGTGGACGTACATGTCTGCTTCGTGTATAGCAGACCATGACGGGTCAACGATACGTAGATGAGGTGCTACGGTCCGTTGTGCTTCCCTACGTTCGGCGGCGTCCAGGTCTCCTATACATGCACGACAATGTCCGAACGCATATCGGGCGTATTGTACAGACCTTTGTGGAAGAGCACCGTAAACGAATGCTTCCTAGGTCAGCTCGTTTTCCGGATCTGAGTCCAATCGAACATGTTTGGGAAATGACTGGTCGGAGACTTCAACGTTATCCGGCTTTCCCGGCTAACGTTTTGGAGCTATGGAGGCGAGTTGAGGTGGCATAGTTGGCCATCCCTCTCGCTACAATACAGCGACTTATAGACTCCATGCCACGTCGTGTAGCGATGGTATGCGAAGCTCACGGGGAATACTCTCGCTATTGATGTTTCATCTCCCAGCAGAGTTGTGCCGCTCTCCATGTGAGAGTAAGTTACACTACTTTAGTACTACTTCCATACCAAATTTTATTCCGCTAGACACACGCGTTCAGATTATACAGGGTGTGCTCGTGAATTATTTCCAACAGTGTACGCGAATCGTCAATTTAGAGAATAATTTGGAATGCATTAATACTAAACACGTGCAAAATCTAAGAAGACAAGGAGGAAATGCACAGGCAGAAGCATTTCAGACAAGGGAAATGTTTAAAAATTTCTTTAACTCTCCAGAGGGTTCAGTACCGTGGCAAGAAAATCTTGCGATGTAATAATAAAGCCATTAAATAAATATCAAATTTTGGATAACTTTTGTGTTTTTACTTACCAGGTAATCCAACTGCTTCTTCAATCTCGTTCCAGATTTTCCTTTTATAATGATTGTCACTATAGTACTGTGACTGCAAATCATATAAGTCGCGTTTATCTTTTACTAATTCAATAAGTATTTCATCTGGAAATAATAAATACAAATTTATATTCAATTTCTTTCAACATAATTATAATGTAATTATTTCTTATTTATAATCAAATGTTATAAATTACACGCATAAATACTTACCTTTTTCAGAATTCCACGATTTATTACTTGCCATGACTAGAAAAAAAAACGTAACGTCTCGCTGCACGACCGATGAAAGACCGGTGTTGAAACAAACGTGTATTCACACTGTTAGTATAAGTCATGACAGTTCCGATCTCGTTTCAGTCAAATATTCTTTTTGACGAACCGGAACCGGCACGACGATATTTAGCCTAGTGTGTCATGAAAAACAAGCCTTCTCAATGAGTTCTTGTCAAAGACTCACTTGTGCAAAAAGTCAAATGCAACAAATTTGCTTCTATTCTTCTAAATCTACCTTTTGTCATCGGAGGTAAATGCGGATAATTTTCATTAAACATTCTGCAAGTTCTACTAAGAACTTTGTCGCACTTTTCGTGCACAAAAAATAAATTATGGATTTCTTTATTTGTATAATCATTATTTACGTTATTAATATCCATTTTAACTGGTTTTAGACTCACAACCATCAAACAACGGAAATCAGACTTTGACGTGTGTCAATAAGTCATTAAACATTTGTTTTCCATGGCTCACTAGGTTAATATCGATATGATATGTGAGCATTTTTCAAAAAACCCTAATTATTTCTCAAACTATTAATGTTAGGCATATTACATATCGAATATAAAAGATGCAAAATGAGACGCCGAAGACGACTAAGTAATAAAATATGGGGGGTGCCATTAAAAAAAAAGAAGTTATGGTGCTTCCAAATTTCGAAAAGTTAACATGTCATAGTAAAGTGACCAAACGATCTAGACAGCCGTTCTTGGCACCAAAACATACTCCATCATGTTGTCTAAGCACGTTCTGAATCCTAAACTGATCTCAAAAATCGAGTGTTCTATGATTTTTGAACAAATGTCCGCTGGAGCAGATTTTTCTAGAAAAATTCGAATAACTCGAGAACGGCCGAATCAAATTGCAAAAAGTTAAGTTATTTATAAACCTTCAAAACAGATAAATCCAAATATGTAAAAATATACAGGTGTTCCATTTAAAAAAATAAAGTAGGTGGCGACTGCCGGTATAACCGGAAGTGCTAGAAATCTGAAAATATTTTAGACGAAGAGATCGTAATTGATAATACTTAAGTCTGAATTCTCAAATTTTTATTTTCGTCAGAACCCCAGAAACGTCTAATGACCGGTCTCGCTGAGACCGTATAATATACGTATATACGTATAATTTGTTTTTTATTTAAATCAATTGTCATTGCCAAATTTTTATAAAAAAACGGTCTGTACCACCCTAGATACCATGTTCTATGACCACGCTTTATAATATTTTCCACTAAATAATAAGTAAGGTTGTGTATATTCTAAACGAAGTTGTCACTTTAAAGACGAAGCCACTAATC